CTTCACGCTCTGTGGTTAGTGGTTCGATGCTCGGGTTCGATGAGTAGTCAACCATTATCGTCCTTGCCTTTCCAGGTTGTATTGCACTAGCCAAGTTGGCCAGGGCATCAGCATGGCTGTTATAATCTCGGCTAATCTGCTGTAGTCAGCAATTCTGAAACAGGGCCACCAATCTGCCGAGCTCCTTTACATTGGCTGACATTCTTTCGTCTCGAGCTGTGAACTCGCCTGTTGTCTGGTTGACTATAAGCTGAGAGTCACAGAATACTATCACCTCATCTGCTTCTATTGTTATTGCCAGTTTCAGTCTTGCAATTAGTGCTTCATATTTTGCTTCATTGTTTGAGGCCTTGAACCCCAAACGAATGGACTGTTCTAATATTTGTCCATCTGGAGATACCAGTATTACTCCTACTCCTGCTCCTTGTCGGTTTGAACTCCCATCAACAAACAGTCGAAAGGAGTCGCCGATGTAAATGCTGCAGGGTCTGAGTTTTTCACTATTCCTCTGTTCCGTTGCCTGGACTGGGTTTCTCTTTGCTCGTTTGGGCATCGTTCACCTCGGTTCAACGGAGCCCGATGTACGATGGATTCTAATGTGAACTCGGCCACGAAGTTGGCCAAAACTTGGCCTTTGATTGCTATTCTGGGTCTGAACCCCAGGTCATACTGGCCCAAGGCCACTGCCCATCTGGCTATTCTGCCTGTCAGGTCTCCCTGTTGCAATAGGGACTTCAAAGAGTGTTCAGTTAGCACCACAATTTTGTGGGCTTGAAAGTAGTGGTTCAGCTTCTTTGAAGCCATTACTAAAGCCAACGCCAACTTCTCTAGGGGTAAATACCTGGTTTCTGCATCAGCCAGGGTTTTGTTTAAATAGTAAACAGCCCTTTGTTCCCTTTTTTCTGCTCGGATTACCACTGCACTTACCACGTGTTCTGAAACTGCTAAGTACAGGAACAGCTCCTCTCCAGGTTCTGGATTTGAGAGAACTGGAGCCGTGGTTAAATACTTCTTTCAGTCGGCCAAGGCAGTTTTGCATTCCTCGGTCCATAAGAAGTCAGTGGCTTTCTTCACTAAGTTGAAGAAAGGTTTGCACTTGTCTGAGCTTCTTCTTATGAACCTATTCAGGGTTGCTGCCCTTTCAGTTAGCATCTGCACCTGTTTTGCCGACATCGGGCTCTTCAACTCTAGGATGACCTTGATCTAATCTAGGCTGGCCTCAATGCCCCTTCTAGTCACCAGGTATCCCAAGAACTTACTAGATCCAACTCCAAATGCATACTTCGATGCATTGAGTCGGAGCCGATATGTTTTAAGGACATCAAAGACTGCTTTTAGGTTGGCCAGATGGCCTTCAACTTCCTTGGTCTTTATGACCATGTCATCGATGTAAACTTTCACTGTTCGGCCAATCAAGTGTTTGAACATCTTGGTTACCAATCTCTGGTAAGTTGCTCTTGCGTTTTTCAACCCAATAGGCATCACTTTGTAGCAATACAGTCCTTTTGGGGTGATAAACGCAGTATTTTCCTTATCTGGAGGGTACATGGCTATCTGATGGTACCCCTTGTAGGCATCCAAGAAGCTCATTCTTCCATGTCCTGAAGTGGCGTCCACCAGTTAGTCAATCTTGGGTAAAAGAAAACTGTCTTTGGGACAGGCCTTGTTTAGGCTGGTAAAGTCCACGCAGACCCTCCATTTACCTTTCTTTTTCTTCATCACCACTGTATTCGATAGCCATGTCGGGTAATTTACCTCTCGAATGGCTCTGGCCTCTAGAAGTCTGTCTACTTCCTCTTTCATTGCCTCAACATGCATCAACGTCGGTCTTCTTGCCCGTTGGATTACAAGTTTGGCCGACCTATCTACGTTCAGTTTATAGCAAATGACCTCGGGGTCAATGCCAAGCATTTCGTAAGGCGTCCAGGCAAACACCTCAATGTTTGCTCTCAAGAAAGCCTTCAGTTCTTTTTCCTCTTCTTCGGCTAAGCCCGAGCCGAAAAGGAAGAAGCGTTCCTCGTCTCCCTACTGGACGAGGATTTTCTTAAGGGCTTCTTCGCTCTTCTCGGCTGGCTCCTTGTCGACGTCCTCTTGGACGTTCACGACCTCGTCTTCGATCTCTACCCTTTCTGGTTCTCGTATGCTGCAGGTGGATTTCATTGCTACCATGGAGCAGTTCTTTGCCTGCAGTTGATCCTCTCTGACCTCCTCTATCTCATGCTCTGTTGGGAACCGCAATAGCTGGTGCAATGTTGAGGGAACAGCCCCCATTGCATGCAACTATGGCCTTCCCAGGATAGCATTGTAAGGGGAGGGTGTGTCGATTATGGTGAACTCTGTCTTTATCTTCTTGGTGCCAGCCTGCACCTCTAAGCTTGCTGCTCTCAGTGGCCATGTCGGCGTTCCATTGAACCTGACCATTGGGCCATTAAATTGCTCCATATCATCTGGGTAAAGGCCAAACTCCTTGTAACATCTGACATACATAATGTTACAAGAGCTGCCTTGGTAAATTAGGATACGCTTCACTTGACACTCCCTAACCTGGAGAGATGCTACCAAGGCATCGTTATGTAGATGCTACACCATCCTAAGGTCGGCTTCAGTAAAGGACACTACTGGTCCTTGGCACTCCTCGGCCCGATGTCTTTTCTCCCTGACCTGGTACACATGCTGCAAGTGCTTTACCTTATGGGTTTCCCCCCGTATTTCGTTTTCGTTGACCCTCGAGTGAATTACATTAATTACTTGAGGTTCGCCTGCCTACGGTTGCTGTGCCGAGGGAGGTGGAGCTGCTGGTGCCTGAGGCAGTTTTGCCTGTTTTTCCCTTGTCCTAGCCTCATTTACAAGGTCCCTTAAATGGCATTGCCTTACCAGTTCTTCCAAGTGTGCTTTCAGGGCTCTGCAACCCTGAGTCAGATGCCAATCCTCATTATGGTAGGCACAGTGCTTACCAAGGCTTCTTCCATAAACTCTCCTGGTACCCTTGCTGGTGCTCTAAAATAGGGCTGGGTTCGGATTTTTTCTAAGACTTTGTGAATTGGAATTCGGAATACAGTTGTGACTGCCTATGCAGCCCTCAGTCCTATCTCTTGCTTGTTGGACCCATTGTTACCTCGGCCTCGCTTCGGGGAGCCGTTTCCTTTCTCTTGCTTTGCCGCCTTGGTTCCTGGTGCGTCTTCCTCGGCTCTGTCATATTTCTCAATTCTGGCCATGAGCTCATCCATGCTTTTTGGCAACGTCTTTGCCAAAGACTTTCGTAGTGGACAATTATCTTTTAGGCCGTTCTTGAAAGACACAACCGCCACCTCCTGGTTGCACTCGGGTATTCGGTTGAACACTTCATAACACCTTTTAACGTAGGCCCTAAGGCCTTCATCCTCACTGATTCTCAGAGCCATCAGGGAGTCTACCCTTAATGGCTGTAGTTTGTTTGTCACGAACCTAGCCACGAACATCTCGGCCAGGCCTTCCTAGGTCTTCACACTTCCCTTTGGAAATTTGTGAAACCAATCCGATGCAATCTCCCTAAAAGATGAGGGGAACACCTTACAGAGCAACAGCTTATTCCCAGTGTATAGTGCCATCGAGTTCAGGTATAATCCAACGTGAAAGTTGGGGTCCGACTTACCATCGTATATCTAGAACCTCAACATACTGAATCTTTTCAGGGCCTCAAATTTGTCCAACTCTACCGAGAATGGTGTTCTCGGCTTAACAGAGGAAGTTACCTCGGCATTTTGTTGCTTCCTCTTGAGGTAATCTCTCAAGTCCTCTTTGGTCCGCCCAGGAGCTCAGTTATTTCCTGACTTCAGTCTTTTCAGTGCACTACTCTCGGCTTCGTTGTGAGCCCTTTTCGACCTTTCTTCATTAGTTGTATCGAAGCATAGCTCTTTCCTTTGAACATGCCGATGTTCTTTAGGGTCTGCCTCCTTGGTGCGATGTGTCCTTCGAGATTCTTCCCTCCTCGCCCGATCTTCCTTGAAGGCTGGTGAGAGTGTTTTTCGCTCTTGGTGTGCTGAGGGGCTACAAGGATTGTTTTCTGCCCTCCTTTCCGGGCATTGGCCGTTGGAATCGGTGTGTCCTGCAGCAGGAACGGTGGCTGCATGACGTTGTTTTGCATCATGAAATTGACGACCGATTGCAGGTCTGCCAATTTGTTCGCCATCTCTTTCACCTCTTCGTTCCTTCGCAGGCATCTATCTTTCCATACCTGGAGGTTGTCCTCGTTGTAATACCCGCTTCGATCTGATTTCTTTGGTACGTCGCCCTCCTGGCCGACGTCTTTCTTGTCATGATTCTGGTCCTGAATCTCCTCGTTGCAACTATCTTTCTCCATGTTAGGGTCAACGTATTTACCGTTCTTAGTAGGGATTTCGTCTCCAATCTTATCTTTCTGTCTGTTGTTGGCTATCTATCCTCCTTTCTTTCCCACAGACGGCGCCAAATTGCGTGTATCAATTTCCGACCACACTGCCAACTTAGTACTCAGCTGGAGAACACCGGCAGAATAGATTAAGCCCGAATAATCTGCAACAGAAAGAAGAGATTCCGGTGGTGGCTCGTCCACCCGAGGGCACTCCGACGATCAAGTCAGTTATCTCTCAAAGATAGCAAAGTACTTAACTCACTATTCAGAATACAAATTGCGTACCTTAGACCTGTGGGGGTGCCTCTCTATTATAGTAACCCAATCTTAGTCCCAATAGAAGCCTAGCTTCAATGGACTTCAGCTCAGTGCTTATTTTGGACTCTCCAATAGATAAAGATAAACTCCCTAAGAGCTTTATCGTTATCTAAGCTGAGGTCCTTCCTCATTCTAGGACTCTTGTCCCCTATCCGCTTATCTTGGACTCCGATATCTTCGGAGATATCCTCGGCCTAGTCGAGATCACCTTGGCGTCACGACCAGGACACGTGGTACCCCGGCTGACATGTCGGCGTCACCTTGGCCACGTGTTGGTACTCAAAAAATATATCCCCACACTTAGGAACAATAATTAACAAATTTCCTTTCTTGTAACTTCATTAAATCATCAAACAATAATTGAATTCCATTTAAAGTAAAGATGAAAATATGTAACCAACTAAATTACAATAATTATTACAATAATTGAATATGAGAAGAGATGTCACGCTGCAGTTCCCAAAGCACTTCAACTGATTTGCCATGCATTTGATCAATCCTAGCATCTTCACTAACTAAATTAACTCTCAACAGCAGCAACATACACACACTAGCCTGCCTTCACCAGCATTGCAAATTGACACTGAGAAACAAAATAGAACAGACCAGCAACATTGTAAAAAATAATTCAACACATAGCAGTCCATAGCTGAGTAGAGCAAACCAACAAAATAAAGCCTGAAACAGACCAAAGTAAAAATTGAAGCAAAGTGATAGCCTGCAACAGAAGAATAGAGCCTGAGCCAAAGCAGCAGAATCTGAAGCAACACTGAAAAACAAAGCAAAGCAAAAACAACAGCATTGCATAACAGCCCATCCTCTCACAACAGTAGCCGATAGTAGGTGGTGAGCAACGGTAGTGGGGAAGAAAGGGAATGAAAACTAATTTTCAAAACAAATGAAAACACATTTTTGTTTCAAGATTTACACTAGCAGACAACACTTGTGGTTGTTAAAAAAAATATAATACACTAGTGACCTCCATATTTTATCTAAAAGGAAAAAAAAGGTTCTTCCATAAATCACAACCAAGTATTCAAAAGATGCAATTTACAGTTAACTACAGAGAGTTATCCATATCTGAATAGATTAATATATTTGTCAATACAGAAGAAATTCAAATAGGTGTCGAAACATAATCATCACAGCAAATTTTTTTTTTTCATATGATATGGAAAGGCAAGTAAATTAAAATGAAGAAAGCAGGCACCATTTATTTGGTTTCAAATGCTTAAAAACCCTAAAGCTTCAACTAATGCAACCCCAAATTTATTTGGCAGCATAGCATGAAGTTAAAGATTCTGCAATGTTCATGAAGCCCATGGCCAACATTTCCTTGTTTTCATCAAGATGGTATCCTTTTATGGATGCAAAAGATCGACCAACCGCAATGGCTTCTTGAAGTTGGCACACGTATTAAGACACTTTTCACAAGAAATTCAAAATGTTCAAGAATAATGCTGAAGAATAAATGGAAGGGAATAAATAGTGATGAGGAATGCACCGTGAGAGCAACAACTGCAACAATCAGTCCAATTTTAGCCACTTCTGAGGCATGTGGGCTATTGAATTGTAACTGATGAATTGAGATTGGATTCAGCCCTCCTTTGATGTGTTTCACTATTTTAACTCCATATTTATCAGCTCTTGTCAGGAAAATGATAAGAGTAGATAAAATAACAGACATCAATGGTGCAATGGCCGACAACCAAAATAGTTTCTTGTCCCTTTTAATGAAGACAACAACTCAACCATTGCACAACCACAGCTACAACACAGCAGCTCTAGCAGAGCAGCAGTTCGAGCTCCAACAGCTCCACAGTAGCACAACCACAGCCACAACACAGTAGCTCCAGCAGAGCAGCAATCACAACAGCTCCAGCAGCTCCAAAGTAGAGCAGCAGCCACAGCAGCTCAGCAGCTTCAGAACAATAGCTCCAATAGTCATGTGTGTATTATCAAGGCTAGGTAGTTAGTTTGTTAGAGTTTAACTATAGTTTAGTTAGACGGTTATGGTTAGGTTAGGTAGATCACTCTTGTATATATACTATCTTCTCTATATAATGCTCATTCATTCAGAAAATCAATAAAATAAATATTTTCTTGTTTTCTCTTTACCTTTTACCCAGATCACAGAATCACAAAGTAAGTATACACTAGAATTGTGGTAGACAAAGAAATTGTATAGACCACCACCTATGTTTGGTCTTGGTTATTTTTGTTTTTATGTGAAAAAATAAATAAATAAATAAATAAATAATAAAACAACAAAAAGGAAATGGCCAATTATGGTTGTTACTTACCAGGAATCTAGTAATTAAAATGAAAGTAAGAAATGAGAACCAAGGATGAAGCTGTAAGGATTCCAAACCATTCTTTATATGGTACACCCTAAGAGAAGCATGACAAGTTTAAATTCATAAATGAAAAATCGAAATCTTCGTGAATCAGATCTGCAATTGATCCATTTATACTATTTACAATTGGTCTTTGACTCTTTGAGACATATGGCTAAATATAGAGAAGATTATTATTATTATTTTTTTGAGTAAGAGAATACAGAGAAGAACTAAAAAGGACTCTAGATGTCAATTCAAGCCCCAACAGTGACTAAGGCAAGCAAAATCATTAGTAATGATTATCATACATTCTTCCAGTTAATAACTTATTTTATACATCATCTCCAAACACATTTTGATAAAATAGTCCAAATGCTCATATAATTCACAGTTAAGGCATCTTGAAATTCTAACATTGCTGATAAATATAGTAAAAAATGCAAATACGAACAAATTTCAAGGGCAGCTCTTTAAAAAATAAATTATTAAGTTAAAAAAACAAATTGACATCACGACATTCTTTACCTGTTCTGTGGCTGGAGAAATTAACACAACAACATTTGCCCTTAGAAGAAAAAACTTTAAACTACATATGAACACACATGAGAACACACAGCAGTAGGACTCTTATAAATATTAATGACAAATTAACAGTGCTATTTCATTACACTAGAAAACCTTCAATAAGAGAGTTTTACCCATATCCCCTAGTAGATGCACAAACAAGAGCCCCACTGTATAACAACATATGAACACACTCCGGCCATCCTTGTCAGGCTGCCAAGTGCAATGGGGTTGCTCCATTTTTATCTTTTATATTCACAAACCTTGCAAATCCCCTGCCATCAACTCCAAATCAAACCAAACAAAACAACCACACCTTTAGCAACTTCGTGGATATTCTCTACACACAAGCATATATGAGAGTGTGTGTGTGTGTGGAGAGAGAGAGAGAGAGAGAGAGAGAGAGAGAGAGAGAGGGTCACCAAGAATGTGCAATAGAGGTGGAAAGGGCAGCAGAAAGAATAGCTTGTAGGCAATCTAGATGGCCATAGAAAGCAGCATAATGCAAACAGGTTCTTCCATGGAGTGAATCAAACATCAAAATCTAATAAAATTTCACACACAACCAATGATCAATTTATCTTCTACAATTCAACCAATGATAGTATATTGTTTGCATAAAAAACAAGTATTGTAAGTGGCGGCATAGGCTAGACACAACAGTATTACCAGATTTTGTTCATTACAAAGGAGAAAATTAGGGCATTGGACACAACTGTACTCCAAAAGAGCATACTTACATCTTGGACAATTGAAATCTTTCATGCATGGAAGAATTCTCTTTATGTATAGATTCCTAATAAAAGAAAAAATAAAGAAAATTTGTCAGAACTAAAAAAAATTGCCATTTAAATGGGAAGTATGCAAGAGGAAGGAAGAAACTAAAATAGAGAAGTCTTACATGTTCTCTTGACAAGCAGGCTGATCAGGGCCTTGCCATGTAAAGTTATTGTCAGAACTATATAATTAATTAGAAATATATGGAAAATATATAATTGAATAATTTTAGGGACACTTAATTTAGGAAGATTTGTAACTTAAAAAAAAAAACATATACATATACATATACATATACATAAAAAAACATATACATATACATATACATATACATAAGAAGCCCAAATCTACTCACAAAACCCCAAAACCCAAAACTAAAACCCCCAAACCCCTCACAATAATAGAAAATAGCAATTGTAACCATACATCAAACCATCCAATTCCACCTCCCAAACATATATATAACCATAGAAAGACAGAGAAACCTTCTTTATGTTTTCCAGAAATAATAGCTACTTCCTAATATAGTCTGGTTACTACGTACTTTTGTACAGTCATTTTTCAACTAGAAATTAACAATGTTGAACAAGTGAATTTTTATCATTATTGTTGTTACTGTAAGTAAGCTAGCACATTTATTTATTTTAAAGCATTGAGCTTGAGGTTATTGGTCAATCTCTATAACCCACCAAAAAGGATAAGGTCTACCAAGAAGCACTTTGCAGTCCCAAAAATATATATCACAAGCATGTTATAAATAATTTGACAATATTAGCAAAGAAGTGCAAGCTGCAGATAGAATCCTACCTAGGCCTCCTGTCCCAGATGCCTCAACATTTATAAAAGCTCCAATTATGTCACGCCATTTATGTGATGTAATGAAGCCATGTGAACCCTGAAATATTGGAGACCGTTAACAAGTTCAATGATTATTAGCTGGAGAACACAACACTAGACTCCTATTAGCTTAAAATAGGCAATTGTGCAAAATAATACATTACCATTTACAACATTTGCCATTTGCAGTCTATCATACATTTTAAAACAACAGTGGCTTATCCAAAGAAATAAATAAATAAACAACA